TGTATAAACCCTATAAGACATAAAACTGAATGAGGTTTTAACCTTTAAAAAAGATCTCCATTTAATTTTAAAATAGTGTTTCATACATAAAAACTAATTTTTAACACTACGAACACTTAGATGTCTGCATATGCATCTGTAATCTCTGTGTACCTGATTATCACTAGTCATAGTCAGTTACTTTCTGAGATCCTTGGCATCTGAGCATGGATATAAAGTCATCAGGTAGATTTCAATCATAATGTTTTTTCACATCTACTAGTTATTAAGGAGCAAACTTTTATGCTTTGAAGAATTTTTTTAATAGACTTACTTCCCAGGTAGCACCCTCCCATAGCCTCCCTCCCCCCACTAGAGCCCTTATACTTTGTCATCCCTGCTACTGTCTGCTGTGTTGTTGGCAACCCCAGCCATTCCCCACTACTTGTCCATCTGGTGAATCTAGTCAGCCTATCTAGAGGTCTTTGTTTTGGGAGGGTCAGCTGTTCCTCATCTAGTGGTAATCAGTTGTCAATATTCCTTTGGATAAGATTGGGGTCTGCTGTTCAATTTCCCGGTTCTCTGCTGGGCAACTATCTGGGAGTCCCTTTGGCCACCCTGGCCAACAACTCAGAAGGCGGTATCACCTGTCTGGCATTGTTGCTTGCTATGTAGCATCTATGAAGTGTGTAATCCCTTGAATTCTTAATGAAATATGCTGATCACTTTACTCTTTGGTTCTACTTTCCTTTTGGATGTTTAAGACCATACAGTTGGCCCAAATAAATCAATTTATATTTACACCTAAAGTCGTTTAAGGATCTGTTCCTCAGGAGTCACATGGGCTTGGGAGGAGCCCCTGGCTCCTTTCTTTGACCAGGTCCACCTATGTGAAGAGAAGTCAAAGGCCCTGATCGACCATGGCTGGCTTCACTTTTAAGCATGGAGGAAATGATTCCTCTGTGTTGACCCTTCTCTTTGTAGACTGGACACTGGTTCAAGTCCATCTGGTGGGGTCTCCTCAGCCTCCTTGATCAAGAGGACAGGTGACCCACCACCATTATAGGACATTTTGAGAGATGCTTATAGTCCCCTGGAACTAGTCAACCTAGGAGGGCAAGGAGTAAAAAGTGTCCTTTATGTCCCTCTGATCAAATTATTATAGACCTCAAAGTATGTCTGTTAAACACCAAAGATGGTTAGTTCCACCAGTCTGGTACTTTTAATTACTGTGTGCCATGTAGATAAATCTTAGGCAAAGACCAGTTGTTCTCAGATAAACCTTACTTATACATATATTTCTTGATCTGCTATGTATTGTCAGTAGGTTGTAGGAGTAATATGATTCTCTCTGGTTTTCAAAACTAGCTAGGCATTGTTTATCTCTTACATTGTCTCACCCCTCCATCATGTTTTTCCCTATGTATAATTTGTCAGTAGGTTGTAGGAGTAATATGGTTCCCTCTGGTTTTCAAAACTAGCTAGGCACTGTTTATCTCTTGCATTGTCTCACCCCTCCATCATGGTTTTCCCTCTTAAGCTACCCCCATTTTCCTCCTTTCTCCCGTAATAATACGCTTCTCCTACAGTCCTACCTCTCTTGAGCTCCTTCTTTCCCTTTATGCCCTAGGTTCTTTGTATACCCTTCCCTTCCCCCTCCCTTAAACTAACCAAATTTTTGTGGGTCTCTCCCTCACCTGATGG